GGTGCTGTCGACCTGGACTGGTTTGTCCGCACCGTCTAGGTCGGAGGGTTGGCCTTCTGTTGGAGCTGTGGGCTCATCCTGTTCTCCTTCTCTGGTTCGTATCCTTTTGTCCACCTTATTTTTGAAGTTGATGATGACCTCATGTAGCTCTTCGACTGTCAATCTTGTCAAATTTGTCCTTAGAAATCTCATCAGTGGACTTGAGGTAAAGAGCGGTCCTCGTAGTGGCGCATCGTTTCATTGAATTTCTCGTATGACACGTAGAGGCTTTTGTTGAATTCTGGTCTCAAGCTGTGTTTCCGTTGGTCTTCCTCCTCTGGATGGTTTTCATTATGGCGTTCCATAATTTCATCAAATTTTTTGAGGCTTTGGCGAATGCTTTTGCTGTTGAAAGGCTCTGGGAAAGAATCTCGCTCCTGATCCGACTCGTCTTCCAAGTCCGTCAGAGGGTCAGCTTTCAAGATTAATTGTTGATTGGTCGATGAGATTTGTTCTGAGGTGAACACATCGTCTTGTAGTTCTTCAGTTGAATCTCTTTCTAAAGACACTTCCAATTCTGCCTTCTCTAGAATGATTGGACCTCGTTCTAGGGGAGTGTTCGTTGGTTCCAGCACGTCGTTATTAGGGATGGACGCTTCAGTTACCTCAATGATGGCTAGAAGCAGTGAAGCTGAGTTCGTCTGGATCCCTTGGGAAATCCCTGAAGTCGCCTGACGTCGGACTCCGGTTGTCGGAGTTGGCGTTGTTTCTTCGAGGGTTTCAACGATTGGTTGGAGACGGGTTGTAGGTGTTGGCGTGGCCTCCTCTGGAGGTAGCTTTCGTGTTGGATTAGCTGGATTTCGGTTGGTATTGAGACGGTACCCCCGTTTATCTCGATAGCTGATTGGTCTTCTGCTATCGTCAGATGCTTGAGTAGCCCTTCCAAGCCTAATTCTGTCAGCGCTGGAGCCCCTGGTGTTCATAACGTCAGGTTCACTTTTGATTCTGACCCTGAGATTAGGGTTAGTGACAGTTCGTGACGGTTTCAGGCATGGTTTGTATGTGGGGTTCGTCCTGATTGGTAAACACGGCGTGAGAAGTTCTGGTTCAGAGGTTAGGTTTTCCAGAGGGTTTCCGGCAAATGTTTCCGCTAGCTGAGCGCCCTTTTGTTCCCTGATCTCCACCTGAAATGAGTAGTCGTTCAGGAACGTCTTCCAATTTACCTGGCGGGTAGTAGAGTTGCTTGAGTCCATCAGCCAATTGAGGGAGAAGGTATTTGTTACTACACTGAACGGTACTGCGTAAATGTATGGTCTGAAGTAGTTTAGAGCATATACAACTGCTAAGCAATCGATCTCAGCCGGTGTATACCTAGTCTCTGCATCTCTAAGGGTCCTGAAAGCATATAGGTTTGGGTGTTCATCCCCTTCTACGTTCTTTTGGCTTAGAATCGCTCCAATTCCTTTGGATGTTGCTGAGACATTAACGATGAATGGTTCACTTATGTCAGGGTGGAATAATAAGGAGTCTTCCATGATTGCCTTCTTCAGGTCCACGAAAGCTTTTTCGCGCTCCTCGTTCCACATGAATTTCGTGTCTTTCCTCAAGAGATTTGTGAGGCTTTTGGATTTTTCTGCATAGTCTTTACAAATCTTCGGTAATAGTTGCTGAAGCCTAGAAATCCTTGAACTCCATGCTGATTTGTCGGTGCTGTCATTTCCTTCAAAGGCTTGACTTTCTTTGGATCCGGGTGAATTCCCTCTTTATCGATGACGTGACCCAAATAGGCGACTTTCCGTCTGAAAAAACTGCATTTGTCTGGTTGAAGGGAAAGTCCACTCTATCTGAGGCAGTTGAAGAAGTTGTTGAGCCGGTTGACGTGATCTTCTTGGGTTTTTGAATAGATGACTATATCGTCCAGGTAGACATATAATTCAGAGCACTTTAAACCTGTGAGGACTTGGTCCATCATTCTTTGAAAAATTGGCGAAGAGTTCTTCAGATCAAATGGCATCCTGGTGTATTCGTAATGCCCTTCGGGGCCGGTAAAGGCAGTTTTTTCGCCGTCCCCTTCGTTCATCTTCATTTGGTGAAATCCACTGCGAGATCGAATACGCTGAAGTATCTCCCTCCACCCAACTGCGACAGATCGTGGTAATGTCAGGCAGAGAGTAAGAATCTCCAATGGTTTTTTGGTTCAGCGCTCTAAAGTCTATTACGCGCCTCTAACGTTTTCTTCCCCGAGAGTCGCATTTCTTGGAGACGATCCACAATGGTGAGTTATGAGGTGATTCTGAATCCTTGATGATGTCGTGTTAATTCACCGACTTAATCTGTTGATTGATTTCTTCTCGGTGTTGCTGAGAATATTTATACTGCCGTCGGAAGATGGAGACCACGTCCGTCGTTTGGATTTTACATGTAAAATCCTTGGCGTGACCCAGGTCATCTCCTGGCAGATGGAACACATCTGGGAATCGCTCTATCAGTTGCGTGACTTGTTTTCGTTCAAATGTTTTAAGCTCTTGCTCAGGCAAGGCCTTAAGAATTTCCATAACCCTGTTATTCCGCTGTTGTTTCTCACCGAGGAATAGTTCTAAGTTGCAGGTGGCTGTGTGGAATTCATCTAGCAGTGGGTCTTCTAGCGAGAATATGGTGGGTTCATCGAAAGGTTCGAGCCTTTGTGGTGCTAGATGTATTCGGACTGGTTCCTCTGTGGTATTGATTACCGTGGCGGCGGCTGTGTAGTCTTCCACTTGGACTACCGCTTCTCCCAAGAATATTCCGGCTGGTGTGTCGACCTTGGGCAGATAGCCGATTCTTACATCAGGGTTGTCAATTGGAATTCCAATGACCATTCTTGTCCTTGGTGGTATGAAGGTGGAGTCATTAGGCCTATGGTACTCGTACCACGGAATGGGCTAACAGGGTCCCTTAATGGTGGTGATATTCCGTTGGGCATATCGAATGTCGACCTTCTCTACGATGAGGAATTCTTGACCCAAGATACCGCTTCCGTCTACAGATAATTCCTTGTCTACAATGTGGAATGGGACCTCCGCTCCCAACATATGCAGATAAATTCGTCCGCAGGTGGGTAGCGCGTTGTCCGTTACCCCGAGAACGAATTCGATTCTCGGAGGTTGGACCTCTGCTGATGGTTTGATAGCCTTCTTCTCGATCAAGTTGATGTGAGCTCCGGCGGCAAACAAAAATGGATGGCATGGGTGGGATTTGTGTTGAAACGGACTGTATTCGTGCTGAAGGATATGTGAGTTTTGAGTGTGTTGAGGAGGTAGTCCGCCAGAATGGCTCCGTAACCGCCAGGTTGATGAATGATGACATGAAATCGGACTGCCACTTCGGCATGTATTGGCAGCATAACGGTTCCCAAGGAGTTGAACACATGATTGGTCAGCCTAACTATTCTGATGGTTTCTGTAGTGTCGATCATGGTGCCCGGATTCAATGACTGATTCAATCAAGATTGAATTGACCGACGCCCCAGCATCGATGAGTGCCGTGATTTTTTCCGGTTTCAGGTAGGGCCCATGTGGAGCAATCATCAGTCCATCACCGGATCCACAAGCAGCTACCTTATAGACCTTTACTGGTGGTGGTGAGTGCTTGACATCGCGTGTAGCGACGGGTTGGCTGCTATGATTCGCATCGGAAGAAACGCAACTCCCAATGTGACACTAACGCTAGTGTCCTCAGTCGATCATGGTTCTCACAAGCCCGGATATCATTAGCCACAGCTGTAAGATTCATAGGACTATACTTACATATGAACCCCCCTGAGAGAGATTTCCTGTGCAGTGAGCTGGACCTCAACAAAAAAACAGCTGTTGATTGGTCGAATGTCACTCGGGAAACTCTCATCGACTGGTGTGGAGACCACACTCAGAAGTTGGGAGGCCCGGGAAAGATTGTCGAGGTAGATGAGTCAAAAATTGGCTATCGTAAATACAAGAAAATGCGTATGATGAATGGAAGATGGGTGTTTTGTGCAATTGAAAGAGAACGTGGTGCTCTAGCTATCACCGTTGTGGAAAACAGGAGTACTGCAACCTTGGTAAGAATTATAATCAAATCTGGGGTGACGCCCCTAATACACACACTTACCAAATATGCTTGAAGTTATCACGAACTGCGAGCCCTGTCTTAACGGCCAAAGGCACCCATGCAAATTTACTGACTACGCCAATGAAAGGAAATTAAATACGATTGTTATGCCCCAGAAATATAGTTAATTAAGAAATAGTATTAGGTAATTTCTCATAATATGAAGACACGCGAAGTGGTACATATTATCAAAAAAGCTCACCGACTCAGGTCGGAGCTGAACTTTACAGTAAATTTCATTATTACAATCGACAATTTCAAGGTCGAAAGAAACAAGCGAGTCTAGGCTCGTGGGTCATTGTATCGAGTCTTGTTTCATTTGTTAAATTAATTGAGTCGAGAGTCCGATTGCGGTCAGAATTTATGTAAAGTCTCGCCATCACGATTTTTGGGACATCAATTATTGTTTTCATGCGATTGATTAATTTCTTCCGATTTTTTTATTCATTCGACAATTTATAAAGAAGTAAATCAATTATTTAACCAGTAACTGTGTGTCCTCTACTTATAGTGTGCCAGCGTAGGGCTGGGGAGTATCGTCCTCCCTCCCCCCTGAGATTTTTGTTTGTCCAGCTAGCCCGGATTTGTTGATTTACCGGTATTTTTAAATCAACTGGCTCCCATAGAGCAACAGTAAAAACCACTCGTCACTGCCGATAGCGGCAAACTTTTCGCATAATTCATTAATCAATTCGTGGGATAGCCCTGAATCGAAAAAGCTGGACAGAAATGACATCAAAAATGAGCCAGGGATCGTACCCGGACAAGAACAAATGGAATTTAATGCAGGTAAACCCACTTATTGACTTATTGACTTATTAACTATAGGCGGTCCTCGAAAAGAGGAGCGCACAATTAGCCTTGCGGCCATTTTGCGTTCTGCCTGAGGCAGCCGTCTAGTCGAGAGGTGTCAGCATCTGTGCCCCACGTGCGAATTGGTAGAGTCCCTTGAAGCCGTCCCTGTCGACGTAAAGGTCTTTAAGGCAAGTGGTCTCAAAGATGTCCAAACGGAGCTCATCAAAGCCACTGGATTTTGTACTGAGATGGTGGGGGTCCTCCTCCACCAAACCGCATCTCGGGCAAAGAGGATCATCTCCCTTGCCGATGCTCGCCAGGTAGGCAGCTAACGGCCAGTATCCTGTGATAAGCCCTAGTAGGGCGCGCAGCTTTACCCTGCTCAGGGACACGAGTTCGTCAGCCAGTTTCCTGGAGGGTTCCCAGAGAAGGGATCTGGTGTGTCTGGCGCCCATCCCTGAGCTCCATCTCTCCACCTCTCCCCTGTCCACACGTTCTTGGATTATTTCCTTTATATAGTCGGAATGAACGCCAACGTGGTCTTCATACACCGGCGCCATTGCCCGGAATCCCTGTTTGGCCAGCATATCGGCTTTTTCATTGCCAAGTATGCCGGCGTGACCTGGTATCCAGTACACCTTTAATTTGTTGCATGTTGCAACTTCATTCATCAACTCTGTGCAGTCGTTTACCAGCGTGGAGCCACTCTCGTGCTTAAGTAGGGCCCCTAGTGCCCGCCTGTTATCCGAGTAGATGTGTATTACCTTGTCCTTGTCCTCCCTGGCCAGTATGATTCTGGCGCAGGCTTTGAAGGCAGCTAATTCTGTTTGAAGCGGGGTGGTGTGTGGGTCCAGTCCAAGGGCCTTCTCAACGGAAGGTCGATTGGACCACACTCCTGCCCCCGCTCGGCCGTACATCTTGGAGCCGTCCGTGTACCAGCCCAGCCCGTGAGGTGGCGACCATTTAGAGTCCACCCAGGGATGCGTGTCGGCAGTGCTTAGGTTAATCTTGAATTTCTTGTGAGGGTGCCATTCAGTTTTGCATGCGTTTCCCCCTTTTGGACAGCGAGCCAAGGAGCGCCCTGTCCTCCGTGAGGAGCGAAACATGCCCCTTCTTGGCTTCCCTCCAGGTGCCAGTTAGTTGCAGCCTGGCTGCCGTTGACAGCGCGACATCTCTTATGATGAGGTGTGGCGGTTTCATGAAGAGTAGCGCCTCCAATGCCGAGGTTGGAGTCGTTCTGAGCGCCCCCGTAATTCCCAGCAGAGCAAGCCTCCCCAGTCTATCCACTGTTTTCCTGTGGCAGGCCTTGTTCATGGCCGGCCACCAGGCAACAGCTGCATAGGTTAGTTGTGGGAGCATGACGGCTGTATAGATGCATCTTACGACCTTGGGTCTTAGCCTCCACGTGCTTCCAAACATCCTTCTGCAGGCCCAGAATGTCCCTATGACTTTGCTGGTTTGCATGTTGATGTGTTTTTCCAGCTGAGTCTCCTGTCGATCCATAGACACAGGTACTTTACGTCCTCTCAGAAGCCCAGTACTGTGTTATAGATGGAGGGGGGTTTAACCACAGATTTCCTTTTGCCAGTGAAGAACACCATCTCGGTCTTTCCGTGGTTAACCTTGAGGCCATTAGATGTGCACCATCGCTGTACGTGATTTAGTGCCTTTTGCATTTTGAAAGATAGCGGACCGCTGTCCTTATTGGACATAAGCAGCGCTACGTCGTCTGCATAGACTATCGGCTCCACCCCTAGCTCTTCCAGCCCAGCCAGGAGCTCGTTCACTACGAGGAGCGACAATAGGGGAGAGATAATCCCCCCCCCCCCCTGCGGGCAGCCCCTCCCCGCGAGCGCCCTGGCCGTGCTGTCGCCCAGGGAGGAGAACACGGCTCTTGTTCAGAGCATAGCAGCTATCCATCTAATAATGGGCTTTTCGATGCCGAATGATGCTGCTGCTTTCTCCATGGTGCTGGAGGAAGTGTTGTCGAAGGCTCCCTCGATGTCATTGAAGACACCGAGCGTGTCCTCTTTTCTTGCCTTGGCACCGTCGATCTTGCCCACCAGGCGATGCAGGGCAGTCTTCGTTGACCTGTCGACCTGGTAGGCGTGTTGAGAGAGGCTGGTCGGATTAGTCCTCAGAGCTCCCATTTTGATGTGCCTGTCAACGAGCCTCTCCAGTGTTTTTAGGAGGAAAGAGCTCAGACTGATAGGCCTGAAGGATTTGGCGTTGTCATAGCACTTACCCGGTTTGGGGATAAAGATAACCCTGACCTCCCGCCATTTGTAGGGCACATGCCGAAAACCAAGGCTTGCTCTTAATATTGGCAGCAGCCTGTGCAGGAGCTGCGGACCCCCCCGCTGCAGGAGCGCCGGATATATTCCGTCGCGACCCGGGCTCTTATACATGTCCAAGGAGTCCACTGCCCACCTCAGGCGCTCCATCGTAACTATTTCCGAGGCTAGGCGCCCGTATGGGCCGCCCCTCTCTGTTTGCTCCAGAATCGTCTCCGTGCGCGAGTCCCCCCTCAGTAAATTAGAGTCCGGGAAGTGCACTTGGATCGGATGTTCCAGAATATCACTGCGCTGTGTGATGATCTCTCCGTTAGGGAGTATGATTTGGCCCAGCCCTTGCGTTGATCTCCCCGAAAAGACCCTGCAAAGCCTGGCTACCTGTGGTAGGGCCTCCAGGTCATCAGAGAAGTCCTTCCAGGCGGTTTCCTTCGATTTTTTTATGAGTCTTTTATACTCCCTCTGCGCATTTCTGTACAGTCCAGTCCTCATGGCTCTTTGTTCTATAGGCATGGTTCCAGAGTCGCCTGGTCAGCACTCTGAGTCTATCCAGTTCGCGGCTCCACCATGCCACTTTTTTCCCTTGGATACTCGCTTTTATCGGGCATGCCTTGTGGAAGGCGCCGATCAGGGCGTCGTGCATTGTGTCCACTTCATCCTCTAATCTGCGCACGTTACTGTGCCTCAACCGCCGTTTCTCCAACCTTACCTTCAGCTCTTCTTTAAAAGTGGTCCAGTCGGTAGTCTTGGGGTTCCTGCATGCGAGACCCTGCATCTTCTCGGCTCTGCCTTCAATGCTAAATTTGATGCGTCTGTGATCGGATAGTACGTCCTCCCGGTCTGCCCTCCAGTCAACGAACTGTTGCACTAGCCTCATGTCACACAGCGTAATATCGATGACACATTGGCAGCGAGAAGTGACGAACGTGGGACTGGAACCCCTGTTTAGGACCTCCAGGTCCACGTCTGCCAGGTATTGCAAGACGGATATGACTCTAGCGTTGTTGTTCTCACTGCCCCTAACCACGTTCTGCGCGTTTGCGTCGCAGCCCACGATGAGTGGCAGCCCATTACTCCTGCAGTAGCGAACCACCTTCCTCAGTTTCCGCGTGGGCAGCGGCAACGCCGAGTCAAACGGAAAGTAGGCGGAGCAGAAGACAGTGCCTTCGGATCCCCCCCCCCCCTCTACACGCCCACCGTCGCCGCGACAAGGTCCCTGTGACAGAAGTTTGCCATTCTTCTGGCATTAGAAGCTCTTTTAACAGAGATGCAAGTGCTGGGTCCTGGCTCCCCCTGTGGGAAGAAACGCTCATTGCCCCTGAGATCAAGTCCTCTTGCCATGCCCCCTGTCACCCAGGGTTCTTGAATGAGGCATATGTCTGTCTGCTCCACCGCTTGGCTGCGACTCACGATAGCCGTCGCCGCTTTGCAGTGTTGCAAGTTGATTTAGGAGCATTGGCCAAGGGCTGGAGCAATGACCGCCCCTACCTTGCTATCCGCTCTCCGCCGTGCATGTCCAGAGGTCATCCGGGCTCCCTTACTTGGGGTTAAGGTTCCCCTCTGACCTACTGGGCGTGCCAGGGCCGCCCTTCACTGGCCTGTCCAGGCCAGAGGTGCCCGTCAAGGCCCACGAGAGGGTCGGTTGAGACCCTCCCGCAGCCCCGCCGGACCCCCCCTCGCCTGTGCAGGCCTTCTCTTCTGCCCTCCGGGGCGCCCTCTTCCCCTTCCCGATCGAGGAACTGGCAGGGTCCCCGGGGCTCTCGCCGGGTCACGGTGCCCCCCCCCCCCCCACCGGGATCGATGTCGCAGGTGTCGGGGGGACCACTGGATTATGAAAGGTCTCAGCGGTCCCCTCGCTCCTGCCCGTCCCCTTAGTAACCACCTGGCACTGCGGGTCGACCGTCGGTCCCGCAGTCCTCGTGAGTGCTGTTTCCAGCTCTTCCGATTTTTTCCGAGGCTCGTAAAAACGAGCTCGTGTCAAGCCGTAGAACGGGCCCCAGTCTAACCCATTGACGACCTCGAGGGACCGGAGGTGCCCCCCAGCACCAGGTTTCGGCCGCCGTTTTTGCCCTCGGCCCAGTCCCTCCACCTCTCAGTGGTAAGGCGTGGGTTCTGCTTGCTCAGGCGGTCCAGCGCAACGTTCGCCCCCACTGGTTTCCCAGGGATAAAGGCCGTTACGCGGACCAGTTTTGGGAGCGCGTCCTTCTCCATTACTGTGAGGAAGGCCCGTTCCCAGGGCGCTAGTTTGGGCACCGCGCCCTTCAGCCAGTCTCTCGCCCGGCCGTCGGTGCACGTCACCCAAAGCACGCCCTGGAGGTAGCGGTGGCCCTCAAAACCTGAGGGATGCCATTCGACATCTCTCCTGAAGATGAGTTCCTCCAGCTTGTCCTGGACGAGGTTGGCTTGTGCTTTAGTCAGGGACGGCTCAGTGTAGCCGCTAGGTATGATTGCTACCTTGCCGCCACCCGTCGCCGCCATCTCGAACGAGGTGATTCCAAGTCCAGCCCTCACCCTTTGCTTTTTTCGGGTCGCAGCGTCTTCCGGCAGAGTGGCTCCACTATCCGATCTGGGTCTTTTGGACCCGTTCCCCCGTTCCTCTCCACCTTTGGCTGTCTCCGATTTGGTTGGAGAGCACTGTTCCCGCAAGTTTTCTGTTGCCATTCTGGCCTTGCGGGCCCTGCGTTTCCCCGCCCCTGTGCGCCTTTTCCGCTTCTTTATGTCTGTGGGTCCGCCTTTGGAGACTTCCTTAGTAAAAGGGGTAACCTCCAGCATCTCCACTTCCATTTCCGTAGGCTTCTGTGCCCCAGTCGGAGCATCAGAGACTGTAACGGCCGGAACCACCTATAAGGTCTCAGACGTTCCCTCTATGAGGCACCGTCTTTGGCGTCAGAAATGTTTATACTAATCGGGTCCATATGGTTCACAGGAGTATCCTTAGAACTAAAGGTCGGCCCCAGCAGAGCCGGGATGCTGGGGTAAGGCCTTTTATGCCATGTCGTCTATCTTTAACTAAGGACGATACATTCACATTTAGAATTCACCTCGAGTTCATAATTATTATGAAATCACTTAATAAATCAAATGCGTAGATGATTTCATGAAAGTAGGATTCATTAGATGCTGTATGTCTCGAAGTTCCACAATGAGCTTGTGCTCTATTCTCATCTTTATTGTTATGCATTTTACTGTGATGAGGGTTCGCCGTTTTGCGGAGTGTATCCACCCACTGATTTAAATCAAGATTCGGCAACCTGGACTGATCGGGGTTCGTTAGTAAGAGCTGGGAGAGGGGTCTCATCCACTAAACAAAACTACCTGCTCTAATTCGATTTTTCTCTCTCCTTGACCCATGGTTCCACCGATACCGGTAGAGAGTGTTCGTGCGATCGATCAGGAATGTTCGATTTTCCATAAATTTGGAATATAAATATCTATTTTTCACTCTAAATAGGCAGCAATAGTAGGCAGAAATTTTTTTTTAATGCTTTCATGAGGAGTGACCCTCGACAATTATTTTGTGCTCAGACCCTATTTGCAGCAATTCAATAACTGAAATAGAACAATTGTCCACAATTCTGCGGTAGAGCGATAATTTTACTAAATAAAAGTAATAATTCGTGGATAAA